TAACACTGTTATTATCCAGGTCCTTATCCAACGCTGCAGCAGCGAACACTATCAGAGATATCTAACAAAATGTTAATCTTTATGTTGTAGCTTGTTTGAACACATTTCCTCAAAATAATTCATAAGCAGCCACGCACACACAGCCACAAGCACACACAGTCACAAGCACACACAGTCACAAGCACACACAGCCACAAGCAGACACAGCCACAAGCACACACAGTCACAAGCACACACAGCCACAAGCACACACAGCCACAAGCACACACAGCCACAAGCACACACAGCCACACACAGCCACAAGCACACACAGTCACAAGCACACACAGTCACAAGCACACACAGTCACAAGCACACACAGCCACAAGCACACACAGCCACAAGCACACACAGTCACACGCACACACAGTCACACGCACACACAGCCACACGCACACACAGCCACGCTTCAGGGGCCCAGGTTGAAGGAACTGGAGTCTTCCTCTGGCAGAGATTTTCCTTTGAAACATAATAGAAGAGACATCAGTTTTATCTACTCAAATATGACTTTGATATATTCATCATCAACAACATCAGTATTTATTGATCACCAGGAGTGGCCCCTGATCCACAGGATCCTTGAACATGTTTATTTGGACTGTGAGAGACTGTGCTTTGTGAGAGAAAGACACTTACATCGGCTGTTTTGGGAGTCGAGTGATTATCTCACTCCTCTTGATTGTTGAAGAAACTCAGCGACAGTTTTGTCAACACTGACTCCTGGAACATGATCGATATTCATTTTGGACCTCAGGGCAGCAACACAACTGTAGGGATGAACGACACACACATCACAACATCATTATCATAATCACTGCGTCCCATATACTGTATGCATTCACAACAACCTACATGACAAATGTGGGGTGTAAAGTCTTCCTCAGGAGATGACAATGGCCATTCTTCTAATTCTGGAAGCAAAGTCTTGTCTTCCCAGTCAATACTAGAGAAAGAAGAGGTCAGCAGAAAAGTATCTAGTCGTTATGGCATTTTTTTTTTTTATATAGTTATTTAACTTGCATTATGGAGGCTGTTGAACTCTTGTACATTGAAGACCTCATTCCAATTGATTTAGGCCATACTGGAAAAGATACAGAGAAAAGAATGCAATGAAGACATGTAAATTATTACAATGTCTATATTATATCATGCTCATAATTTATTTGGTAGTAGTCAGCAAGACTTGTCTTACTTATTCTCAATACATAATAATAAAAATGTATGTAGTGGTCACGGAAGTTAGATTTGAGGTAAAGAGATATTGTTTTTATAACAATAAAACTAATATACAGAGTGCAAGTTGCAAAACTTAGTCATTGAAGAATGAAATGCAGACCTACATATATATATATATATAGTGCAAGCAACTATGTTTATTGGCAAAAACAAACGATTCATACAGATCAGAAGTGTTCGTAGCAGCCACATCATATTCACAACTACAGACAGCTAATGCTAACAGCTAACGCTAATGCTAACAGCTAACGCTAATGCTAACGCTAACGCTAATGCTAACAGCGAACGCTAATGCTAACAGCGAACGCTAATGCTAACACCACTTCATGGGGGAACTCTGGTGATATGGTCATTTAATGTTGTACATGTGGGGAACTAATAATTGACCGGAGTTTATGGATGGCTGAGGCTGGGCTAAGGCTTCGATGTTGTGTTGTCTGTTGTTGTTTCTCAAAGCTAAGCCAAGGTAATGCGCAGTTATTGCCACAAAATGCGGCCGTATTTCTACAACAGCTGGGGATTTTTAACTAGCTAACTTGGTGAAAACCCGCATTACAGTCTCAGGCAACAATATGTATAAATAATACAACTACTACTGCCACTACTGAGTAACATGCTCACCTGTTCAGTCGGAGAGAGGAATCCACGGAGCTAGAGGTCGCCAACATGAATGCAGCTGGTCACCATGTTGCTCATACTTTTTGTCGTTCCTCTGTTTCTGGCGTTTTGCCTGTATTTAATAGATCCATGCCATGGTATTTAGTCTGCAGCAGCGCTGGAGGCAGCTTTTCCTTCTCCGCCATGTTTGTTTTGAAGAGTGCGCGTGCACACACGGGAGAAACCCCTTATAAGGCGTGCTCTCTCGTCATTGGATAAGCGCATAGGATGTGAGGTTTTTTTATTAAATATGTGGGAGAAGACTGGAAGGACTGAGAGATCCGTGTTTAGGTACAAACACTCTATATAAGTGATGGCTATTGGAATATATCAATATTTAAGACGTATATTAACACCCAAAAATCGCTTACTGCTGCTTTAATGATTTAACATTTAAAAAAAAAGTTCAGGATGACAAGGGACACTAAAATCCCCACAAAATCCGACCTTATGAAAGGCGTAGGTTCTCTGTCAGCTGCCCCCCATGCCCGTGAGTGGGACAGCTATAAGGTAGTAATACTCTATTCCAATATAAAGGGCCTTAAATTAAACCAATTTGTTAAAAAATTGGTAATAAAAAACGCCACTCCTGGAGGCAAAAACAATGTACACAGATATTTCACTGCAATTTTATTTACAATTAAAGTTACAATGTTCGAGTAATAAATCCTTTGAAAGTATCCAAGGGCCTGGAGGCTGTCGAGGCTTCTCTGTGAGGCTCAAGGAGGTTGGAAAATCCTCCTGTATGGAGTGAGGTTTTTTTTGTATTCCATATTGTACACATACTCATTAAAAACAGACCTGGAGTGGTTTTTAGATCTCCCATTCTTTATCCTGGAACACTATGAATGCATACTCCTTTGATACAAACAATCAATCTTATGAGCTGGTTGGGTTTGGGTCGGTGGACTACTTATATCAATAACATGACACATTGAAAAACATGAAAAATGTGGGTAGCGATTTGTGCGAAGCCAAGTCACTGAATATTAAAGTAGTACTAGAATTTAATATGCTGCTATCCAGAAAATATAACTACAATATGTGTTTATAATATTTCGGGTGTTCATTTTGATATGTTCAGATGAATTATGTTAAAAAAACAGCTTTGAAGTCGGACCTTTTCACAAACGCTAGGGGGAGCCAAAATGGCGGCGATGACGTAGGAGAAGGGTATCTCACAGCAGCAGACAGCAGTCTTAGCTGGAAACTGTTGGAGGTTTCACTGTCATCTGAACAAGGTATAAACATATTTTTATCCGTTTTGTACATAATAGTGTGCAACTCTTTTAGCCTTATTTGTGAGATTCAAACAAACTATTGTTGGGCAAGTTAGCTAACTCTACTTGATATCATAAAACATGCTAACAAGGCTAATATTCGTTTTTACATTATGCCAGTCTCACTGTGGTTGCCTTAGATTTATTTACCACAATATACATTGTAATATCCATAAATGCTAATCAAAATAACTTGAATTAAATAAATATTTTACTTTTATGAACAAAAAGCTGCAGAAGTTGAAAACATAGACTACATGTGATGCAATCATTGATAAAAATGCTAATTAAACCGTTAATAGGATGAGAATCAGCACCTCCAAATCCGAGGCCATGGTGCTCGACCGGAAAAAGGTGCCTTGCCCTCTTCAGGTGGGTGGAGAGGTCCTTCCTCAAGTGGAGGAGTTCAAGTATCTCGGGGTCTTGTTCACGAGTGAGGGAAGAATGGAGCGTGAGATTGACAGGCGGATCGGTGCAGCATGCGCAGTGATGCGGTCGCTGTATCGGACCGTTGTGGTGAAGAGGGAGCTGAGCCGAAAGGCAAAGCTCTCGATTTACCGGTCAATCTTCGTTCCCTCCCTCACCTATGGTCATGAGCTTTGGGTAATGACCGAAAGAACGAGATCGCGGATACCAGCGATCGAAATGAGCTTCCTCCGCAGAGTGGCTGGGCGCTCCCTTAGAGATAGGGTGAGGAGCTCAGTCACACGGGAGGAGCTCGGAGTAGAGCCGCTGCTTCTCCACGTCGAGAGGAACCAGTTGAGGTGGCTCGAGCATCTGTTCTGGATGCCTCCTGGACGCCTCCCTGGGGAGGTGTTCCGGGCACGTCCCACCGGGAGGAGGCCCCGCGGAAGACCCAGGACACGCTGGAGGGACTATGTCTCTCAGCTGGCCTGGGAACGCCTTGGGGTCCCCCCGGACGAGCTGGAGGAAGTGTGTGTGGATATGGAAGTCTGGGCGTCCCCGCGACCCGGCAACGGATGAAGCGGAGGAAAACGGACGGACGGTGTTAGCATTTTTGAATATTACAATGTACATTGTGGTAAATAAATCTAAGGCAACCAAAGTGAGACTGATATAATGTAAAAACGAATATTAGCCTTGTTAGCTAACTCTACTTGATATCATAAAACATGCTAACTTGCCCAACACTAATTAGCTTGAATCTCACAAATAAGGCTAAAAGGTTAAAAGAGTTGCACACTATTATGTACAAAACGGATGAAAATATGTTTATACCTTGTTCAGATGACAGTGAAACCTACAGATTCAGCCCAGACTGCTGTCTGCTGCTGTGAGAGGTCATTCTCCTACGTCATCGCCGCCATTTTGACCCCCCCCCCTAGCGTTTCTATGCAGAAGTGAAAAGGTGCCACTTCAAAGCAGTTTTTTTAACATAATTCATCTGAACATGTCAAAATGAACACCCGAAATATTATAAACACATATTGTAGTTATATATTCTGGATAGCAGCATATTCAATTCTAGTACTGCTTTAAGTGACTTTTAAGTTTAAAGAGCTTGGAAAACCCAAACCTCCAGGTAAATTGTGCATAGATTGCTGCCTCAGTCTCATTTTTCAATACTATAAATGAGGACAAACAATACATTCTTTAACATGGAATTGTCGGTGAAAATGTACGCTGCATATTGTTCCGAGCCACTCCCATAAGCACACTGTCTGTCTTTGCGATGACGTCCCGCTAAGCTAACCCATCTGGACGGAACGCTGCAAAATAAGAATCAAAAGATAAACAAGACGTCGCACAGAAGAAGCACAGAGACAGATGGAGCTCACAGACAGCGTGGCCGCCCTCCGTGCTCAGAAACAGAGAGAAGAGAGAGGCTTAGCGCTGATGCTAACCGAGGAGCAGTCCATCTGCTGCACAGGGGACCAGGGCCCAGCCAGGCGCCGGACTCACTGGGCCCGCATCTGCACGTTGTGGATTATCGACCAGTTTAGTCAGTCACTGAAGCTGTCTGCGAACTGTAGCAAAAGCTTTGGACTTGTTTGTATTTGTGAGAATGAAAATGGAGTCCGACTGTTTTAGAAGTTTGTTAAGTCGTTTGCACAGGTTTTTTGCTGTAACTTCTTTACTGTGAGCAAACAGAGCTGCCACCCAGTGCTCAAAGGAAGAAGGCTGCACCGTGTGGAAGCCATGCCCTACTCTATTGTACCAATTGAGCCATTGTCGCCCCAAATTGACACAGTATGAGACAGTATTATTAAAAGTAAATACAGCTAGTGCAGTCCGGCACCCTAAGGAAACCGCTCAGTGTGAAACAAATGCATATTCACCTGCTTTTGAGTGTTATAGAAATGAATTACTTAAATAAGTATTATTGAGGCTATAAAATTCTCTATTGTGCTTCATTCAGGTAGTGGGTTAGCATTGTCCGTCTATATACAACCGGCTATGGTTTGGGTCCACAACTGTACAATGTAAAACTAAACTGGCAAAAGTGATTCATGAGGCGATGAAAGTAATGGGTTGGAAAAACTTCTATGGTCTGCATTTTCCAAAACTCTGTCCTGACTCAGTCTGAATGCTGCTCGCTGGAAAATGGTGAATATCAAACACTTCCTTTAGGCAGATGTTATGGAGCGCACACATTTAAAAGGGTTTTTGAACACTTTTGCATCTTAAAGGAAGCAAAATATTAAATGTCATATTTGATTTCATATTCTACTACACTCTAAATTGGCGAGTGGTCCACTAACTTGATCAGCTCAGTGGACTAGGGTCCGGACATCATACAACCTGATAAAAAATGTTTTGTGATGTGGTTGAATCATCAACAACTTAACGAGTGTAATACACAGTACAGTAATCATAATTCTGAATAAGAAACATGTTTGGAAACAAAGTCCCAAAAATAGAAGTTAAAAGAAATATACCAGATTGTCGTTCAGTTGTTGTGGTAACAGTTGCCATGGTAACAGTGGCCATAGTGATGGTTTCCAAGGTATACATTTTTATTTGTTTTATTTACGTTTGGAAGTTAGCTACAGCTGAACAGTAAGGTTTGTTAATCTTATAACTGTTGAAAACAAAACACGCAGCCTTCAATAATTTCTTTTTTTTTTTTTTCAATCATATCAGAATAATATAGTCATTGCTCCCATTGTGATAGTTCCCATTGTTCCCATGGTGACAGTTACCATAGTGATTGGCGTAGCAACAGTTACCATAGATGTCGTAGAAACGGTTACTATGGCAACACATATCACTCTGTTAATCATTACCATAGCAACCATTGCTATGGCAATCATCCAAGTTGCAAAGAATTATAGTTAAAAAAAGATTCACCAGTCAGTTGTCATGACAAAGGGTGATGGTGATTGTTCCCATGGAGATGGTTGCAATGGTAACACTTGGCATAGTGATGGTTACTAAGGTAACAGTTGCCATAGTGACGCCATAGCAACAGTTGCCATAGTGGTGGTTGCCAGGGTAACAGTTACAACAGTACTAGCTATAGCAAAGGTTGCCATGGTGACAATTGCCAAGGTAGTTGTCATAGCAACGTTGCCATGACAACAATTGCCATAGCAACGGTTGCCATGGTATTTTTTTTCCCAAAGCAACGGTTGCCAAGGTGACAACTACCATGGCAACCATCACCATGACAGCCGTGATGGTTGCCAATGGTAAGAGTTGCCATAGTGATTGTTGCCATCACTATGACAACTGTTACCATAGCAATTGTCACCACAGTTGCCATCCATGCCAACCGTTGTCATGGATACGGTGGCGACAGTAGCTCAGTTGGTAGAGCATTGGCCTTCAGGCCTGAAGGTCGTGGGTTCAATTCCCACCTCTACACCTTCTCCACCGACTCCCACTGATGACTGCTGTCGTTGTGTCCTTGGGCAAGACACTTAACCCCACTTTGCCCAAAAGCCCCCGCTGAAAGATCAAGGCTATGCTCACACTCAAAGAGCAGCTGTCCTCCTGTGGACTCACCACCTGCAGAGGGTCAGTGAGGGGCTGGTGCTATGAGACTGGCATCTCTGATTGCCACCCCCCTGACCCAGAAATGGATTAAAGGGTAGAAAATGGATGGATGGATGGATGGATGGTAACTTTTTTACAACCTAATAACCAATCCGGGAAACTTTCAAAATTAAAAACATTCATATTATTAAGATAGAAATATGCAAAAAATAAAGCTGAAAGTTTAAAGTCAAAGTCTTTCATCAATTCTTTTGCAATTTCTTAATAATGTAAAACAATTTGGCCAATCGACAAGTATTGGCGCTCTTGGGACTCCCGAGAAACAAATGAGCAGTGTTTGACTGGATTTAACACTTTTCCGTACTGTGGTGTGTGTGTGTGTGTGTGTGTGTGTGTGTGTGTGTGTGTGTGTGAAGCCAGAGACCGCAGGGCTACTTGTGTCTGCGTGTCTATTGGAAGGATTTAAATGAAATAACAATTGGTGCTTACACATGAAAGTCAACAGAAATTAGCAGCAGGTCTCCAGGGAGTTGTTCTTAAGCTTGTTCAAAATGGAATAATTCTGTGGTTCAAGTAGCTCCAACACAACAAGAATTATTAAAAAGTGATGGTAATATAATGACTAAATAGGCTGAAGGCAAGAGCTGGAACATGAACATTAAATTACTTTTAAAAATACAACTAAACAGATCAAATAATTTGACAATCAGTAAGTGGGACCCATTTTCAGACCAGGAAATGATGGAATTGCCCAGACCTTATTCACGATTTTAACACCTTTAATGGAAAGCGTTAAAATTGCACTGATTTTATGACGTGATTTTTGGACTTTTAAAGACGCTTCACATGTTATTCTTTCACTCCAAACACATCGGTGAAAAACTACTATGGGAACAATGGGAACTATCACAATGGGAACAATGACTATCTATATTATTCTGATATAATTGAAAAAAAAAAATAAAGAAATTATTGAAGGCTGCGTGTTTTGTTTTCAACAGTTATAAGATTAACAAACCTTACTGACTGGCACCCCCCCAACCCAGAAATGGATTAAGGGGAAGACAGTGGATGGATGGATGTTTTCTCTACCAAACAGTTACAAAACACAGGTTACACATACAGTAGTCACACATGAAGAACAGAGAGGACCATAAGCACATACAGATCATAAAAAGGCATCTCAAACACAAGTTCCTATTTGTTCCTATGAGAACTTCGGATACAGTTATTCCATAAATCAAACATATTAAACACAGAAATGCAAAACACAACAGTATTGTGCAATTTGCGGTACAAGACTGTGTCAGCCCAATTGTTCTCAAAGCAACTTAAAGCTCTCGCCAGGTTGGGTGCGTAACTTAAATGTATTTTTAACAATTTAGAGTGAGATAACAGACAAGCCGAGGCAAGTTAATTTGCATAGTACAGTTATAAACAAGGCTACTCAAAGTGCTTCACAAAACAAGAAAATAAATAATCATACAAGGTACTAAAATCATAAATAATCACAGTACATTAAAAAGAGTGAATATACAATCCTTCAGTTGTTGCACAGCTAAACAGATAGGAAGCTTAGACTTTATTGAAGCAAGGAGAATATCCCAATTCTATAGCAAAGACTCTATCTCCCAATCTCTTTTACTGGCAGTTTTTATTAGAATAATGGTATTCAGGTATTATTTACAAACGCTCTCCCATATTTACATTCATGAACTGAACTTTGACAGCATTCCGGTTATAGCATCAAAACAAACACGAAAGCCATTTTGTTTCCTGGGCTCTGAAAAAAAAAGACTTAACTCGCTCGGTGTGGAGCTGGCGCGTCCAGATAAAACACCCCCCAAGAAAAATGGCAGCAGGTAATCACAGTGAAGCATTACCGATCATTACTCTGCCCTGTCACTGCAGATGAGAGACAAGGCGGCCAATCGTGCGCATCCCGGCGTCCTGCCCACAACGCCAGATTGATTTTGAAGCGTGCTCCTTTTTCCCTGACTCTCATCTTTTTTTTGTTAGAAGTCGTGCTTTAATGAGTAAGCTTTGGCGGGATCAGTTTTTCCCCCCCTTTCTTGTACTTCCCGGATGGAGGGCCAAGGCTTGAAGTGAATTTTCGGAAATGTGCGCGCTGACCTTGGCGCCGAATGAAGATTGCTTCCACCAACAGAAGCCGGGCGGCGGGAGGAGCAGATAAAGCAGGGAGAATTAGGATCTATTGCTTTCCATACCGGCGTTGTGCTGCACTTTCGGACCAATCCGCCTGTTTTGTATTTTTCTGTGGAGTGCCTGAATAAAAGCTTTCAGAAGCCTCATTCCCACTGACCAAAAACTTGGTGTTTTTGACCAATAAAACGCGGGTCACTCAACCCAGTTTTTTTTGCCGAGGCCTGTTCCTAAAGCAAGGGTATTTAACTTTCAAGCACCAAAGAATGAACTATGTAATACAATACATCCAATCAATTCTAAAAAGTAGCTTCGTTCCATCAGTAGTTTTCACATGCCTGTGTTTTTGGCCTCTGTCACACCATGGACCAATGGCTCTATGTGTTCACTGTTGATTCTCTGATCTGTGTTGGCAAATGTTGATAAGTCCTTTGAGATAACTATTTTTGTGATTAAGGGCTACACAAGAACAAATTGTATTAAATTCAGTTGGAATAGATCTACTTTTTCAGAAAGAAAACTTTCTTTTTCTTGAGGCGATAGTGACTCAGTTGGTAGAGCATTGGCCTTTAAGCCTGAAGGTTGTGGGTTCGAGCCCACCACAAGACCTTCTCCACCAACTCCCACTGATGTCTGCTGTCGATGTGTCCTTGGGCAAGACACTTAACCCCACTTTTCCTGAAGCCTCTGCTGAAAGATCAAGGCTCCTGTGGACTCACCACCTGCAGGAGGATCAGTGAGGGACTGGTGCTCTGTGTACTGGGTGGCATCTCTGGCCACCCCACGACCCAGAAATGGATAAAGGGGAAAAAGATGGCTGGATGGGGCTCTTTCTGTATGCAAAAGATGAATAGTATGTTGTGGCCTTGATTTGTTCACGAAAGGTTCTTTTTTCTATTGGGAGCGATAAATGTTTAATTTATGAACCAAAAAAGTGAAGTACTCCAGCTTTAGCAAAGGCAAAAATACCTCAAAGGGTTCTTTTAATTAGGGGACTTTGTTGTAACATGGTTTAACCTGGGTTCGAATCCCTGTCAGAACGGGGTCTTTCTGAGAGGAGTTTGCACGTTTTCCCCGTGCTTGCGTAGGTTTCCTCCAGGTACTCCGTTTTACCCTACCACTAAAAACATGCACACTAGGTTAAATCCTCCAGCTCCGGTAGTCCTGACCAAGCCGAGCATCAACTTCTGTACTACAGCGACCACTGCTTCTGACGTAAGCCTTCGCGGCTTTAGAATGGATCAAATGCAGAGGATGAATTGCCCTACGGGGATCAACAAAGTGCACCTTTACTTTTGCATGTAATATTCTATATGTCCTTTGGATCAATTTCAATACGAATTTCATTATAATGCATTGGTTTTCCTTTGTGAAATCTCACACAGACGGTTCCACTGACTCAATCGCTCCACGTTTTGCTTTCCCCCAAACAAACACAAAGCGACAGAAAGTGACTCTAGCAGATGTCCAGTGGCAGTCCTTATCCAGTCACCGGCCCCATCTCACTGCCTCTGCTCTATTGGAACTGATCCTTCACATTACAGCCCAGCACCAGGCCACTCTGAGCCCAGGCCTGGAGCTGCTGATGGAAGGGGACAGCTCCTGCTCCCCCGCCTGGTGCCGTCTGTGGGTGACAGACAGAGGGGGACTGAGATTGGCCTTTACCTGCTAGTTTAAGGGTGCCATGTTGTGACGCCAGTTTTAAAGAGATGCAAGAAAACCGATTTGTCCAATTATAGACCGAGATGCATATTACCTGTCTTTTTCCAATAGGTTCTTAAAAAATGGGTGACAAAACAAGTGGTAGAACATCTCAATCCTCTGCACCCTATGCAGCTCGGCTTCCGTGAGCACCATTCGACAGAATCTGTAATAAACAATGTTTTTGGATAGAGTAAAACGTAGTCTGAATAGACACACTTATGTAGATGCAGTTTTTTTAGATTTCCATGATATACTACTGTCTACTGTCTAAGGCCATACAATGGATGGCGGCATATTTGACTAACAGAAAACAAGGGTTTGTGGTCAATGGAGTGAAATCAAGTTTTATAAACACTCCGCTAGGGCAGTGGTTCCCAAAGTGGGGGTTCCGACCCCCCGGGGGGTCGCAAGATGATTTCTACACAAACAAAAAAGATTTTTTTTTTTTGAGCAAATATAAAGCCCTTAAATATTTATTTAGCATTTGATTTGATTCAAAAGGACTACTTGTTAAATTGTGTTTGGAGACTATAATATATTTTAATAACGTTAGTAATTTTGTCCCAGTCATTGCAGCGTCAATCAAAATCATCACGTAACACAGCTCACATCATGCGCAGCGGCAAAGCGTGTCCTGCTGTTGTTTTCTAAAACTAAAGGTGTTTGGAGGCTACAAATAAATAATACCTGCTTTAAAATGAAACGTGGTTAATATCCACAACAGAAAAACCCGGAGGGGGAGAAAAGTCACTTGTATCAGGGGTCAGGCTGATGGTGCAAAGAGAGGGAGAGAGGGCAAAGGAGGGAGAGAGGGCAGCGGAGGGAGAGAGGGCAGCGGAGGGAGGGAGGACAGCGGTAGAACAGCGCGTTAAAGAGGCCCGGCTTTTCGGAGTCAAAGGTAAAGAGGTCCGCACATTAAAAGCGGGTGGCCGGTTTATGCCTTTACTGACAGTAACTTTGGAAAGAGAAGCCGCGGGGATGAACCGCATAAAGTAACAGCAGAAAGCGGGTTAGCGGGTTAGCAGGGCATTTATGATGGGGGTCGCGGGCTAAAAACTTTGGGAACCCCTGCGTTAGGGGACCACAAAAGATCTGAAGATGATTTGCCATAGAATGAAGTACAACATTTAAAATTTTAATCATATAAGGTGATCATTAACTGATGAAGCGGGATGTGTTTGCACATTTGTAATGGGATGTGTGCAGTTGTTGGATGTGTGTTTCTAATGTGTCTGTTCATGGACATGCACTGTCCCACTCAAATAAATAAATGTTACAAACACATGTCAGAAATTGCACTGTCTGTTGGACTTGGTTGAACAAAATAAACAATATTTTGTTGCTTAAGCGTCTGTTTTCCGTCATTATTCAATGGTATACTAAAAATCCATGTGAAGTAAGTAAGTAATCTTTATTTATATATCACCTTTCACAGACCAGAGTCACAAAGCGGTTTACAATTGTTATTTTTGGGCATTTGTCTCTCACTCCACACAGAGATGGGAGCAGGGTCGCCAGTACAGGAGGCGCATGCCAGACCTATTGTACATATTTTTAGTGGTAGGGGAAACCGGAGTACACAGAGGAAACTTACCACGAGGAGAACATGCAAACTCCACTCAGAAAGGCCCTGTTCCGACCGGGATTCTCTCTTTTGATTGTCTGTGAATGAAGGAGGAGCCAAGCAACTTGTTTCGTCCCTAACCTCATGTCAGCTCAAAAAGTTTGCATATATTTAGAAAGAACGTTGTGTATTATTTATTAGCCAAAGATGTTAAATGGCACTGCTTATTTTGTCATTTCATGTTTCAGAATGTTATATAACGTCTTATAACATATATGGTGAAACAAGTATGAAGAGTAAGAAATGCTTTCTGCCTGTAACTCCCTCCACTACCAGCTGCAACCATAGCCATGCAATTATAAAGAACGGAATTTCACCTTAGATATTGCCAAACCTAAATGTAGGCAAGAGTTAGTGACCCTTGTCATGTGGCTGGAGGACAGAACCTGTAAATATAGTTTTTCATCCACCAGTAACTTCCACAGATCTCCTCCAACAATGACACGTGTTGTTGGGACTATGTGAGCTGTGCTGGTGTCCGACAGATGCAGCAGATTACGGTGAACTGCGATGTCCAGGTCTTCGGTCCAAGCAGCTTTGAGTGAGCGTGCACTAAGCCTTCTCCGCTGGGGGCGAGCAGTGGGCCGTCCAGATGGTTCTGAGAGCTGCCAGGTAATTACAGCACAGCAGCGACTCCACAACCAGCCGGTTTACGCTCAAATCTAACTGAAGAAAGACCTGTGTTCGATGTTCTAGAACTCTTTACATACTTCACTTATAACTGTTGTGTTGGGTTTGAGTAGTGTGCTTAGATGATCATGTTATCATCTGAGTCTTGCTCATGCACGCCAAAGCCACATCCCATCAAACCTCTCTGAAGCTGAGCAGGGCAGGACTGGGCTAGTACTGTGATAGGAGACCTCTGGGAACTCCAGGACACTTTGCCCACTTTGCCTAGAATGAGTCTGGTGTGTGTGTTTGTGTGTGAGTGAATTGCTAGTGGTGGCACATGTGGGCGCCACGGTGGCTGAGTAGTTGGCACTCTCGCTTTTCAGCAAGAAGGTTTTGGGTTTTGAATCCTGGTCGGAACAGGGCCTTTCTGAGTAGAGAGTAGAGAAAACATGGAAGAAACCTCCATGTTTGCATGACGCTTTTGGCTGAGCTGTTGCAGCCGACTAACCTTGCCTGCAAGCTGAATTCTCGCGGTATTTGTGAGTTCACAAACACTCGAGAATACATCTTGTACCGCTCCCGCTTACACTTTTCGAGTCGAACCACTGGGTGTGCGAGCCAATCACGCGCCAGTCTGGGGGTTTAGGGCGGGATATCCGGGTTTGACGAAAGCAAGAAGTGCCGGGCCGAAGCAAAACAAACATGGCTACGCAGGAGGACGGACGCAAAGTCAGTTTTAGCAGAATCTCCAATTTCTTTTTTGAAAGATGAACAGCGAGAGGCGCTTTGTACATTTCTGGACGGCAACCTTGGTAGGCGGGCACACAGCGTCACTTCGCCCAATCAGCTTGAAGTATTCTGCTGCTTACCCCTCCTTTCCCCGAAAGGATTCTCCGGGAGAAATCCCAGATTGATATCGCGGAGAACGCGTTAGAGTTCTACACAATCATCAATCTGGCTTTTGCCAGGTTAGCAGCCGACTAGTGACAGAGTCAAACTGTTTTGAGAGCCAGAAAGTCACTGCAAATGTCTAAGAAAAGCATCTGTTGGCGCACATGCGAGTGTGCATCCCTCTGCAAGTTTATATCACAGATACTGTTTGGGTCAATTTGACCCAGCAGCACAACTGGAGGTTAAAGCGTGTCAGAAATGTCAGAGTATATCTCTCATTTTGTAACACACACACACAACTTTTGGTGTGAACCAGTTATCTTCTCACAAGAAAATTTCACCCACATTCAGTTGACACTCAACAGGGTAGGGGAAAAATATATAAAGATTCTTTGTATGATTCAGATTCAGATTCATTTATTTGCCATTTGCAGTAAAACCACATTGGAAAAACTGTGCAAGACTACCCCAGTGTGCACCAGACGACACACACCAGAGCTCTTGCCACGGCGCCATCTTTACGGCCAACATTACACTCTTTACAAAATGATTAGGCTAAGATGCCTATTCAGGATCATGGATTGTGATAGTGAAATAGAGGATGATGTATCTGAAGATGAAGACTATCTTCAGCTAAATTCTGATTCAGATTATTCTGATTTTGAACCAGATGGAGGAATTGCTATTCCTATTACTCCAAGCAAGACCTTTATGTCAAAAAATGGTGAAATACAGTGGTCTTCATCCCCAAATGTGTGTCAGGCAAGACTGTCTGCAGAAAACAAATTAGAATGGCAGTGAGTTGTGTGACCGATATCAAGTTCGCTGAGTTGTTCCTGCCAGATTCAAAAAGGAAAATAATTCTTGAAATGTCTATTCTAGAGGGGAGACAGGTTTTTGAGGGGAAGTGGAATGAGCTGGACAAGACTCATTTAGATGCGTTTTTGGGGCTCCTAATCCTAGCTGGGGTATATAAGTCAATGTATGAGTGGACAGCCGGTCTCTGGGATGCAGAGACAGGCAGAACTATATTTTGAGCCACAATGTCTCTGGAGACTTTTCACATTTTCTAAGAGTAATCCGAATAGATAATCGAGAAAAAAGGGCTAGTAGAAAGAGACAAGCTGGCAGCTGTTGGGACATTGTGGGACAAGTGGGTAGAGCAACTTCGGCTACTCCACAACCCAGGCCCTAATATCACAGTGGATGAATGGATTCCATTGCACTAAATATTGGTAGAATCATTAGTAATGAGTTAGTAATCAAATATTCAGACTTATTGTCAGGCTCTTTTTTGTTTTTTAGAATCTTATGGATGATTAAAAATGCACCGGGTCAAATTGACCCAGGAACACCATGGCTGTACCTGAGAAATGAACATAATAGGAGGGTTAAACAAATCAAAAATACAGAGTAAAAATAATCAAAAATAAGTATTTAAAAGTCACTACATCGTGTCAGAGGGAATTGCTTTATAATGATTATAAATGATCGTCCACGTGAAGCTTTACTAAAAAAAAAAAATCAAATTTGATAAAGGAAAGAGCAGCGTGTACAAAAGCCTAAACTTTTATAGTAAAAGCGTCACCCAGGTTACGCGGCTTGTTACACTGTCATAACGGGATACACTGTCCCTGGTTTTTATAACCTTCGTCACTTGACCCACAAATGTGAGACGGGAAAAAACATTATTCTAATTAGCCAAAGTTCTCATACTGAACACATCTCTGCAAAAATACTGGGTCAAAAGCTGTGGTTTTGCAAATTTGGAAATAATAATAATGGTTTTGGTAATAATTGCTCGAGTCAAGTGGGACAAAGCCGTTTAGTCTTTTTTTGTG